TGGATACCTTGGATAGCCAGCGCACTATCAAATAATAGCTTCCACTCGAAAAGTCTTCACTACCTAGCCTTGGACTTTCTGAAATTACTAAAGCGCGAAATTTCTAATTCTCAAGAATTTCTACAATTTTTGCGTTCATATTTATTTCCTAATCAACATGCACTGGAGAAATGGTCATTAATTTACCACCAACTGTTATGATAGCATTATCAGCTAGTCCCTGTAACATGTTCTAATATCCTCGCGAAAGGTAATTCTCACTCTCTGCTTCTAGACAACCCATTAACGGCTCAATATGTCAGTGACCGAGCGATATTGGCTATTCTCGCAAACGATAACCCAATCAATTAGAGCTGAAAATTTGAAGGCACGTTCCACGGTGAATGTATGGGCGAAGACAATTGCAGCAGTGCACCTTTCTTGTTGGTGGGCCCCTCCATTAAAAGTGGCAAAGGGAAAGGGCCAACCAATGAGAATGGCGCACCCGCGCCACTTGACTCCGCCCTTTCATTCAGCTGGAATGTGCGATCGAGTATAAAGACACTGTTCATGACCAAAACTTTTTTAATGAATAATTGGAGAAAAAAGAATTAAGGGAGAAAAAATAGTGCACTGCAAATGTTCATTTGCCGATTCCGCATCCCCTCACTTTAAAAGTCAATACATAGGCGAAGAAGCATGTGCCTTTTGACCGATACAGTGATTCGTTAGAACGGTCGATGTTCGAGGCAGTACAGTTACCCATCCAACCTTATTTATCGATTCATGTATCCAAAATTTACTAAGTACTTACACCCAGCTTTTTTCTAGAGAAAGTTATAGTCATTGAAAGCCAAAAAACCCGGTTGTGCACAAAAAACGGTCCAACGGGGCGATTTTTTGAAGAAATGAAACTTTACAAAAGTTCGAGTATTTTTAGAAGAAAACAATAGAGTTTTCAAAATTTTCTTACCACTTCTCACACTTTTATTTGAAAAAAAAATTACAACCTTTCAAATGAAGAAGTGCGCATTTCTGTGAATTCTTAATTCTCTACCCCATAACTAAAGAGTTTGAAGATACTGCATAAACGTGGTATTTTCTGAAACTAGCAGTCTCGTAGATTACAAATCTACTTAGCGTTTTGAAAAATATTGAAGTTGAACAGAATTACACTCATTTGAAAATTAGTAGTCTGCCTTGGTCTATCCGCGCTGGGCCGAGGAGAAGATTGTGCGCGCCAGTGCAAAGTAAAGCGCTCAATCTGGTGTAACGCTCGAAATACCAGGAGGTAAACCGTTTAGACAGAGTGAGCACCCGAAGTAAGCGTAAATTACGATGTTCCTGCCGTAGTCACGTACAATGCGCGTCGCATCGACGCGATTTCCGCAATGACAATCCTATAGGTTATGCTCACAATGAGGCTACCCCGCTGGGCAGCAATCCAAAAATGGATGAGCGTCGCGGGCTAGGGGAGGTTATCCCCGGGTGCCGCGCTAGACTAGGCGCGAGGCCACTCTGGCGTGCGTGCCATCCTCCACCTCCTACATGAACGGCGCTCAGTATAGTTGGCGGGTTGGCTCGACATATTCTCTCTTCGTTGAGAGCGCGAGAAAACGAGGGCGAGCACACACTTCAACGCGTCAATGCGTCGCGCATTGTACGTGACTACAGCAGAACATTATAATTCACGCTTTACTTCGGGTGCTCGCTCTGTCTAAACGGCTTAAGTCGAATACTAGTAGCACGAAGTAGTACGCAAACACACACAATCACCAAGTGTACGGTACATAATAAGTGTTGGGGGAGGGGTTGTATCGAGACTCGCCAAAAGGAGAGGGGGTCGTAAAATTTCCAAAATTGGTCCAACGTAACCTGATTAGATGGGAAGTTCGTTTATGTCGCATAATGGAATTGTTACACTACGGATTTTCCGTTAAAGGACGAATTCACGATGAGAACGAAGGTCGAAGAAAGGGGAAATTGCCTAGTTGGGAGACAGGCGGACCTCCTGAGGGTGCTGACCGACGCGCAATTGGCAGCGAAAGATTTGACCTCGGCGATCTAGCATGGCTCACTCTTGGCGCGGTTGGCGGGTACGCCCACCGACCATCTAATCACTCGCCGCAGGTCTATACGTGGCGAGTGATTAGATAGCAGAGAGAGCGTAGTGTTGAAGAGGGCACAGCGATGAGAGTCGCAAATCAACGGGCAAGGAAGGGGTCCCATTTCTCGGGTTCTGGGCCGTTTCCATGGTTTTTCCTTCTTTCGTGTACCACTCACCATCTCTAACTTAATTTGAAATGGGTTGCTTTTAAGCGTTAATTCGTCCTTTAAAGGACCCCTATGCAATTCGGGTGAATGTTGCTGTCCTCTGGACCATTAGTAGGGTTCAGTAGTACTGCATCACGATAAATCAACATATTGTACGATTAGATTGCATAATTTAGCAACTTAAGGTTCCAACGTGAGTACTCTTTCAGCTCTTGATACCTAACCTTAACACTGTTCGTAGCTGACCCACTGCTGCAAAGTAAAGATAGACAGTATGAATAACTTTTATGTAAACTCATTTATCACATCATTTCCAATTATGGTTATCCCTTTCAATACTGCAGTACAATTTTCAGTCGAGCCTGCAGAACGGTGAGCAGGACGCAGATCCATATGCTCCTCCGGACACTTTGGGCGGAGATGTTGCTAGGTAATCATCCAACTTCAGCTCTTATCATTTCAACATGTTATCATACCTTTCAGAGATGCTCGTGGGAGGCCGATGGCTTTTGTGATCACCTGAAACAAACATGTGATTTTATCGGTTCATCGCTAAGAATGAATAAATTTGTTCTGTCCGAGTTCTCTGCTTCTGGAACTTCTTTAACACGTTGACGACACTAAGAAACCTACTCACCTTATTTTACAAATTTGCATTAACAGTTACTACATTACCAATAATTTCATTAGTGGTAACGAGAGAACTATTTTTCGTATCCAACAGTAGGAAGGGCCAGTCTTGAAGCATGAAAATGGAGGCACAATTTAGGAAAAACAAGTCTCTTCCGTGTGAAGTGCGGGACGTATGTGTCCCGCGCTGTCGTCAAAGTGTTAACCTGCTCAACGATTAACACATTGACGACACGGGCGCGTAACTCACCCTTGTCAACCACTTTTCTAGCATGTGCGCGGCTTCTTCCACGGTTGTTTGTATTTTTTCTGTAGGTCATATATTAATTAACCCATTGCGGACCGCGTGCTGCACATGGTGCAGCACGCCACCACGCGGAGAAGGACAGTAATCTTTGATTTTTTCAGCATTTTGTTAAGTTACAAAATCATCAGTTTACTTTTTTGGACACAGGATATATCACTTATTTGCATACTGGTTAAATTTTTGATAGGTCATCGGCCACTGATTAAAAGAGATGACAAAAACCTACGGAGGTGCAATTATAACGGCGGTCCGCAATGGGTTAATTATGAGCGTTGTAGTTTATGAACTGGTTATATATGCTCGAACACGGCTGATAAATCTGCTTGTTCGGAGACTCTGAGAGTTAAGGGGAGGCGAGTAGGCGACGTTGCGTGCATCCTGAATGTGCCCTCCTAGAACGATAGTGTAAACGAGCACATTTCAGCCTTCATGCTTTTCAAGGGACATTCCCCACTCCCTACTTCCTTGAAGTGACTATTCCTCTTGGTTCACGACCCTTCTTTTTGGCTAATTTCACCACTATCTCGCCCAGAGAGAGCAGACAGGCTGTTTGCTGCGTCGCTGATGAATCCATCTCTCAACTCTCACTTTACTGGTGTTTCGCTACCTTCAGCGTTGAGTTCTGAAGGGTCTTGTTGGACAGTGAGACGCGGATGCGCGTCTCAGGGATCGCGCTCGCCAAGCTGTTCATCTCCCACGTGGCCAAAAAAGCCAAAACGCGCACAGTCGTCAATGTGTTGATAAGCCTGACCCCTTGCCCTTCAATAATTTTCCTACTATGCGATATCCAGCTTGCTTTCCTGTACTAGCATGACATCAAAATTTGCACACTAGTACAAGTAAAATTCTCGATCTTTTTCGATCACTACAACATGGAAAGCAAGGAGCAAATTTAAGTTTCACGCCCTGCCCTGGCTATTCTCAAAGTGTTTGTATTTCGAATTTCAGTGAGGACTTCTTCAAGCAATTCGTATTCCCTCATGGGTCATAAGCGCCTGCGCGAGGACGTAGTAACCACCAAATTCGCTACAACAAACGACTAGGCAAAACAGCTACGAGTCGGCTATTTTTATCTTGATATATATCTTTTGTATTTACTTCTTCCTTGACAACTGTTACCCCTTTACGTGAAGGTATGGTGATTCACCTAATTAGAATTTTTGCACAATGCATCGCTCATGCAAGGCCTAATCTGTAGAAGAGCTCTCAATAAGAGTAGTATTCGAGTAAATTGAGAACTCGTCACGCCTTTGAATGAGCTCTCTTGAGAAAATCACCTTACTAAAGGCCAGCTAAGCAACTGCTTATTTCCCCTTCTGGCAGCGGAATCTCCCACTGGAAGTACTCGAAAGAACTTAACGGGGCAACGAGATTCAACACAGAGTCCTGAATTGTATAAGGATTCCGTACGATAGATGAGCGAATCATTTACCCCTAAACTTTACAGTAAATATTATGTATAGCATACAAGTGAAATCATAGATGCTAGTGAAAATATCTTAGTACCTCGCAATGTGCTCACAAAAGTCCAAAATTAGTTTGCTAAAATGCAAAAAGGGTGCCTATGACTTTGTGAGAGCAGGCTTATATCCCACCACTGTGCCATTTTTAGTTGGCTTATCCACTGCACTTCACTTCCATGATTTGTTCCAAACGTTAGCCATGAAGTTTGCCTTGCACCACAACTAGCATCAATAAAGCTAGTAGGACAACATGAAGCTGCATTTGAGTTTTAGTAGTTCATCGAGCCAGCTTGAAACCGTCACTGTGTTGTCATCATCTTGGCGCAATTTATGCGATTGTTCCAGGGCCAACGGCCGGGCGCGTCCGGCCGACGACACTTTCCAGAGGATGTGACAGCGAAGACCCGTTGGCTGATTGGGTGATTGTTTGTTTCTGTATAAAGAGGGCGGTCTCTCTCTCTTACATGCTTCTTGTTGGACAATTCGCGCCATCCCTCAGCTTGATTGCGTGCCGCCCTCTTCCACGGCCTTATCCCATTCACTCCCTCACATCACACTCCCACAGAACTATCGAGGCAAGTTCAGCGTCCAGAATGCGATCCGCTACTGTCGCCTTTCTACTACTTAGCGCACTTCTCATCAGTGCACAGAAGTCACGTGAGTTCTTAACATTCATGCTTTACCCAACAATCTTGTTCTTTCGAGCGCCTTCCGGCAGCGCTCAGCATCAACGAAGACTTCAGAAGGCCTCGACCAACTTAGTTTTTGATGGCGCTTTTCTGAAACTAGTCACTTGAGGCATGCTCATCCTCAGCTATCAAGGCATAAAATTAGAGACCCCGGTAGCAAGCGTTCTATTTGCCCTAACCCGTAGAAGACCTAAACTATACAGCTCTGAAATTGAACATCTTCTAGTTCTGAACGATTGTCACTTAAACGCAACGTAGCTACATCGCACTTGGCCACGAACTTCCTCTTTTGTCACTCTAAACCTATCATGCGATGAGAACCAGAAGCCATTAGCAAACGGTTTGTACTTATCCATGAATATGGGCAGTACAATGTCATTACGTAGCCCGAAATCAAGCCCCCATCAACACTTCCGTCCGCATTTTGAATAGCTCGATTTAGACGCCAAAGGGACGCCGGAGTTGATGCAACCCATGGTGTATGAGACTGACAATAGTGATTTGCTTGCCAAGGTAAAGGCCTCGTCATCGATTCGACGATGTTTATGCAACTCACTTAAGTTGTTTAGGTATCATCGCAGTTGCTGAACGCCCTTGCCAATATTGAGAGCATGCAGGAAGGTAAGAGTTTGAAACAGGAATTTTTGCACAAGTATCAATGTCTCAACTCAGCTTGGCCATTGTCAGGTACACCAGTGAAGATCGCCGAGAAACGTCGCAACAAGTTCGAGTTCATTCGATTTGGTCGAAAGTGAAATAAGCGGTCGAACAAAACAAATCAGCGTTCGTACGTTGTCCGAACTGCGCTATGCTGCTGATGCTGTCCCGGCTGTTTATTCTTCATTTTCTTCATGTTCTGGTTAGATCTGCATTTGACGGAATCATGTTGCGCTCACTCTCCTAACCGTACTGTGTTGCTCGTATAAATATGTATGTTCTGGGTTATCGATTTGAAATTAATTACATATTGGAGAACATTTATATATTCTTCGTGCAATTATTCTCGCGTAAGAGGCATTTCCACAGCTGAAATTCGCAAAGAAAATCGCGGGGAATTAGGTAAACGCCGTAGCCAGAGAGTGGAAAACAGCAAGTGGGTCTAAGCAGTTCGCTGCCTCAAATCCTGTGCTCATGTTTATAACCAGGGTCAACCCTACGTTGTTACGAGTAACAACGGGGGGGGTCGTACCTTTCGAGCCATTTGTTCTGTGTGATTCAACTTAGCTTACACCAGCACCGCTCAGCTCTGAGCTGTTGGAACTGGAATTGCGGGTTATGAACAGGGTCTGTCCTATCGTTGTTACTTTTCGAAAAATTTTTACGACCCCCCTCCCCCAAGGTGGATTTGATACGACCCCCTTTTCCCTACCTCCACCATCTCCATCTTCCATCAAAACCCCGCCCACTTTCCCTCCAAAAATGCCGTCGAGCGGGGTATATAGTCACTCTGAAACGGTAAACTTCTCGCCGAAAATTTCCTTCTATTTCCGCCATTTCAATCC